GTTATTTTTATTTTACTTTTATTAATTGTAATTTTTTACCTACGTGACTTTACCGAAAAAACCTAAGAACATGAATCCTTGCAGTCACGAAAGCTTCAAATCTAGAACGTAGGAATTGTCCGACCCCGCGGTACGCGCGTGTCCATCTCCACCTCTCTCTCTCTACCCAGGGCGTCCCCCCTCCCCACCCCCTTACTGATGTAGATGTTGCTCTCGGTGTGGAGGGGACATTGGTTCTCTTGCTTGTGAGTGATGAACGCCTCCAGGCTGTGAAACTGATGCCGGCACGTGCCGCAGATGTGGATGTCGCTCCCAGCCACCTCCACCACCACCATGTCCTTGGACACCTCTGGAAATGACAGCAGCAGCAGCAAACAAAACGAAACGTCATTCGACACAGCAGCGGGGATGTCACACACCACGTGGCACTCGTGCCAGGCTCGGTGCACTTTGAAGGCGACGTGAAGTGTGTCCACACTGCCCGCTGGCGAGGTGGTCGGTCACGGGCAGAGGTCGCAACCGGGTACCGGATACCCGTACCCTACCCGATACCCGGCTACCCGGCCGGGTACGGGTACCCGTTTGCGACCCTGGTGCGGCCAGGTACGGGTAGACCGTGAGTCACTGGTGAGTAACCGTTTGTCACTCATTTCCCAACGTCTTGTCTCTTCTCACAATTCAAGTTCCTAGAATCAACCCACCCGCGCCTGCAACATGGCTTCATCCCAGAGGTCGCAATCAGGTACCCGATGCCCGTACCCGGCCGGGTACGGGTAGGGTACGGGTATGGCCGGGTACGGGTACCCGTTTGCGACCCTGGTGCGGCCGGGTACGGGTACGGGTAGGCCGTGAGTCACTGGTAACTGTTTGTCACTCATTTCCCAACGTCTTGTCTCTTCTCACAATTCAAGTTCCTAGAATCAACCCACCTGAGCCTGCAACATGGCTTCATCCCAGAGGTCGCAATCAGGTACCCGATACCCGTACCCTACCCGGCCGGGTACGGTACGGGTACGGCCGGGTACGGGTACCCGTTTGCGACCCTGGTACGGCCGGGTACGGGTAAGGAATCAAACCCCGTTTGCGACCTCTGGTCACGGGGCGGACGCAGGTGTTGACCAACGTGCGAGTTGGTGTACACAGGTTGGTGTCTAAGTCCGTTGCCACCGCTCTGCCTGATGAACCTCGTGTATTTTGATGGTTTAATCTTAATTTTGGAGCTTTCGTGACTGCAGGAATTATTCTTTGGTTCTTTCGGTAAAGTCACGTCTAAAGATAAAATAATAAATTAAGTACGAGCATACGACGTTTCGATTGCAACACGAGCAATCGTCATCAGGTATAAATGAAATAGCGACAAAAATTTAACCAGAAAACTATAGACAGACATATAAGCAGACAGATATCACCAAGATACATAGAGAGAGAGTAAAACATAGGCACAGAGAGGGAGATCGTCTTTGTGGGGTGGCCTTAAATATTTAATATTTACTCTCTATGTATCTTGGTGATATCTGTCTGCTTATATGTCTGTCTACAGTTTTCTGGTTAGATTTTTGTTGCTATTTCATTTATACCTGATGACGATTGCTCGTGTTGCAATCGAAACGTTCTAGTATGCTATTATTTAATTTATTATTTTATCTTTATACGTGACTTTACCGAAAGAACCAAAGAATATTTTGATGGTGGCGACCCGAGACAAAGACGACAACATCGCAGCTATTGGAGGGGTACTTATTCTGAGATTTTTCGGTAAAGTCACGTAGGTAAAAAATTAAAATTAATAAAAGTTAAATACAAATACAGCAATCGTGCTGTGACGGTTCCACCTGAAGACGGAAGCTTGTGTTGCCTCCGAAACGTCGTGATTTTTATTTTATTAACTTAATATTTTACCTACGTGACTTTACCAAAAAAAACCTAAGAATATGAATCATTGCAGTCACGAAAGCTTCAAATCTAGAATTGGGGGGGCTGTGCCGACTGTTTCTTGGCGCAACGTTAATTGTATTTTTAAGGGGGGGCCACATCTCGGCACTTTTGCACCACGGACCCCCCCTGCCCCCCCCCTTCACTGGTGCCAATTTGAAACTGACCGCTGGATTATGCCGCTCTTAGATCGTGAGCGCCGATCTCAAGGCGTTTAAACTCGACGCGCACAATGGCAAACTTTGAAGCGGCAGAGGCACATCATGTTGTTGTTGTAGCCCTTGCTGGCAATGAAACAGCTGCTACAAAACACCCCCCCCCGACCCTCCGCACCCCCCCGACCCTCCGCACCCCCCCCACCCTCCGCACCCCCCCGACCCTCCGCACCCCCCCCCACCCTCCGCACCCCCCCCCCCCTCGACCCTCCGCACCCCCCCCACCCTCCGCACCCCCCCACCCTCCGCACCCCCCCCACCCTCCGCACCCCCCCCCACCCTCCGCACCCCCCCCCACCCTCCGCACCCCCCCCCACCCTCCGCACCCCCCTCACCCTCCGCACCCCCCCCCGACCCTCCGCACCCCCCCCACCCTCCGCACCCCCCCGACCCTCCGCACCCCCCCGACCCTCCGCACCCCCCCACCCTCCGCACCCCCCCCACCCTCCGCACCCCCCCCACCCTCCGCACCCCCCCCACCCTCCGCACCCCCCCACCCTCCGCACCCCCCCGACCCTCCGCACCCCCCCACCCTCCGCACCCCCCCCACCCTCCGCACCCCCCCCACCCTCCGCACCCCCCCCACCCTCCGCACCCCCCCACCCTCCGCACCCCCCCACCCTCCGCACCCCCCCCCACCCTCCGCACCCCCCCCCACCCTCCGCACCCCCCCCACCCTCCGCACCCCCCCCACCCTCCGCACCCCCCCCGACCCTCCGCACCCCCCCCCGACCCCCCCCACCCTCCGCACCCCCCCCGACCCCCCCCACCCTCCGCACCCCCCCCCCACCCTCCGCACCCCCCCCACCCTCCGCACCCCCCCACCCCCCCCACCATCCGCACCCCCCCACCCCCCCCACCCTCCGCACCCCCCCCACCCTCCGCACCCCCCCCACCCTCCGCACCCCCCCCCCCACCCTCCGCACCCCCCCCCCACCCTCCGCACCCCCCCCACCCTCCGCACCCCCCCCACCCCCCCCACCATCCGCACCCCCCCCACCCCCCCCACCCTCCGCACCCCCCCCACCCTCCGCACCCCCCCCACCCTCCGCACCCCCCCCCCCACCCTCCGCACCCCCCCCACCCCCCGACCCCCCCCAACCTTCGCACCCCCCCCACCCTCCGCACCCCCCCGACCCTCCGCGGTAGTGGTGGTGGTGGCGGCGGTGATGGTGGTGGTAGTAGTGGTGGTTGTGGTGGTGGTAGTGGTGGTGGTATTGATGGTGGTGGTAGTGGTGGTGGTATTGATGGTGGTGGTAGTAGTGGTGGTTGTGGTGGTGGTAGTGGTGGTGGTATTGATGGTGGTGGTAGTGGTGGTGGTATTGATGGTGGTGGTAGTAGTGGTGGTTGTGGTGGTGGTTGTGGTGGTGGTAGTGGTGGTGGTATTGATGGTGGTGGTAGTGGTGGTGGTATTGATGGTGGTGGTAGTAGTGGTGGTTGTGGTGGTGGTAGTGGTGGTGGTATTGATGGTGGTGGTAGTGGTGGTGGTATTGATGGTGGTGGTAGTGGTGGTGGTGGTAGTGGTGGTAGTAGTGGTGGTGGTGGTAGTGGTGGTGGTATTGATGGTGGTGGTAGTGGTGGTAGTAGTGGTGGTAGTGGTGGTAGTGGTGGTGGTAGTAGTGGTGGTAGTGGTGGTGGTGGTATTGATGGTGGTGGTAGTGGTGGTGGTGGTAGTGGTGGTGGTGGTAGTGGTGGTGGTATTGATGGTGGTGGTAGTGGTGGTAGTGGTGGTGGTATTGATGGTGGTAGTAGTGGTGGTGGTAGTGGTGGTGGTATTGATGGTGGTGGTAGTGGTGGTGGTATTGATGGTGGTGGTAGTGGTGGTAGTAGTGGTAGTAGTGGTGGTAGTAGTGGTGGTAGTGGTGGTGGTAGTGGTAGTAGTAGGTGGTAGTGGTGGTGGTATTGATTGATGGTGGTGGTAGTGGTGGTAGTAGTGGTGGTGGTGGTAGCGACCACTGCGAGCTCAACGAGGTGCAGCAGCTGCAGCAGCTGCTGGTTCCGGGGCCTTGCAAGCATGGATGGCGCCCCAAACAATGAATACCACCTCAACCACCACAACCACAACCACCACCACCACAACAACCACCACAACCTTCACACCTTGACTCTCAAAGTCTTCGCTCGTCTCGGCCGCGTTCATCTTGCGTGTCCCAGCGCCGCCGCTTTGATCTCTCGACGCTGCCGAGCGCTCGGCAAGAGACTCTGAGTGCGAGGAGACGTCCACCACCACCCCCACGTTCAGCCATTCGACGAGGGATGAGGGGGGAGGGGCTGCTGACGCGTCACTTTAAACGCGACGTAGGGGGGGGTGTCTATTCGGCCGCCATCTTTGTAAGGGAGATGGAGTGGGTGGCGTTATTAGGTAACAGGCGACTAAATATTGTCCGTAATTCAGGCAGGGAGGGTTAGATCGTGTGAGCATATTAATGTTGTGTCGTTTAGCTCGCTACCACCCGATAAAAACTAAACTTGTTTGGGAGGGCGAGGCGTGTGTGACGCGTCACTTTAAACGCGACGTAGTGGGGGGATGTTTGTTCGGCCGCCATCTTTGTAAGGGGGATGGAGTGGGTGGTGTTATTAGGCAACAGGCGACTAAATATTGTCCGTAATGCAGGGAGGGAGGGTTAGATCGCGTGAGTATATTAATGTAGTGTCGTTTAGCCCGCTACCACCCGATAAAAATTAAATTTGTTTGGGAGGGCGAGGCGTGGGTGATGTCGCGTTGTGATGACGTCGTCAAAACGTCCCACCAACCACCATTGTATCTTCTTGGTTCTTTCGGTAAAGTCACCAAGTTGAAGGGAAGTAATAAAATAATAAAAATAAAATAAAATAATTCTCACGACGTTTCGGCCAGTCCTCAGTCATCTTCACCTGAGGACGGCTGCTTGCGTTGTGGCCGAAACGTCGTGAGAATAATTTTATTATGTTTTATTTTTATTATTTTTTATTTTATTATTTCCCTTCTACGTGACTTTATCGAAAGAACCAAGAAGATGAATCCCTGCAGTCACGAAAGCTTTAAATCGAAATTTAACATTTTATATTCGTTAACATATCCCTACCCAAGATGGCGGCGTCGAAGTCACGTGAGTTGGGGGGGGGGGTGTCCTTGATTCTTAACTTAATTCTAGATTTGAAGCTTTCGTGACTGCAAGGATTCATACTCTTAGTTCTTTCGGTAAAGTCACCATGTAGGTAAAAAATGAAATGAAAATTAATAAAAATAAAACAATAAAAATCACGACGTTTCGGAGGCAAAAAATGAAATTAAAATTTATAAAAATAAAACAATAAAAATCACGACGTTTCGGAGGCAACACAAACGTCGTGATTTTTATTGTTGTATTTTTTTATCAATTTTAATTTCATTTTTTACCTACATGGTGACTTTACCGAAAGAACTAAGAGTTTGATTCTTACCCCCACCCACAATCTCTCAAGATTAGCCAATCAGATCGCGTTTTGTTGCAACCGGATGCAGTTCCCCTCCCCCCACCTCCCTCGTTACCGCGATAAAAATAAATAACTAAATAAAATATCAACAAAAATAAATAACGAATCTCGACGAAGCGCTTAGTAATTATCTGACGGGGTTTTGTTGTTCGTTTGTTTATAAAATAATATTTTTCTTCGTAAATCGATCGCGTGAGGCGATTGGTTCCACACCGGACGTGACGTCACAAAGAGGCGGAGCCAATGGCCGTTGCGGCTGGACTTGGGCTCCGTAGCGAAACGTTTAATCTTTTTAGTTTTTATTATAAAATCGACGCCGCCAGCTGCCGACGTTAAGCTTTGCCATTGGACTACTTGCGACGAATGTGAGTGACAGACGGCGTTTCGTGCAGCGTGCGTTTATAAGCCGTTGTCGTCTAGCGGATGGACTGCACCCGGCCATAGTAACGTTAGTTCGCGTCTGTGGCCCGGGCCACAGCCAAGCCCCCCAATATCGTGTGTCGTGCCCCCCTCTAATGCCCTGTGTGTGTGTGTGTGGTAAACTTCTTTCGCACCGCACGGAAACCAAAGAAGCTGTGATATTCGCCAACAGCACTTGCCCCACAAGTCTGTTGAGGCTATACGGGGGTATCACTTGCCTCTGTACAATTAGGTTTGTGTGTGTGTGTACACGTGTGTGTGTGTACACGTGTGTGTGTGTACACGTGTGTGTGTGTATACACTGTGTGTACACGTGTGTGTGTGTGTGTACACGTGTGTGTGTGTGTACACGTGTGTGTATGTGTATACGTGTGTGTGTGTGTATACGTGTGTGTGTGTGTGTATACGTGTGTGTGTACATGTGTGTGTGTATACACTGTGTATACACTGTTTTTGTGTGTACACGTGTGTGTACACTGTGTGTGTGTACACTGTGTGTGTGTACACTGTGTGTATACACTGTGTGTATGCACGTGTGTGTGTGTTTGTGTGTACACTGTGTACACTTTGTGTGTGTACACTGTATGTGTATACACGTGTGTGTGTGTGTGTACACTGTGTGTGTATGCACTTGTGTGTACACTGTGTGTGTGTATGCACTTGTGTGTACACTGTGTGTGTATACACTGTGTGTACACTGTGTATACACTGTGTGTGTACACTGTGTGTGTATACGTGTGTGTGTACACGTGTGTGTGTACACGTGTGTGTGTGTGTGTACACGTGTGTGTGTTTACACTGTGTGTATACACTGTGTGTGTGTTTACACTGTGTGTATACACTGTGTGTGTATACACACTGTGTGTGTATACACACACTGTGTGTGTGTGTATACACTGTGTGTGTGTATACACTGTGTGTGTGTATACACATGTCAAGGGGTAGGGTAAAGGGTAGGCTCGTTGCTTTTTATCTTTTGCCTTTCCTGCTAAAGGCTAAAAGGTAGGGTAAAGTGATTGTATTGTGGTAAGATAAAAGGTAGGGTAAAGGTAGCCTCGTTGTTTTTACACTTTTACCTTACCTTGCCGAGGCCTACGCACAGGTGTACGCACCTTAACACTCGTGCCACCGAGCCTGACGAATTCACCACCCCCGCCCCCCCGTGCGTTGACAGATGCTCGCCTCGCCCGGCGCAATGGGCGACTTCACCGGCATCAACACCGGCGATCCCTCCTCCTCCAGCGGCACCAGCGTCGCCAAGCCCACGGCCGCCTCTCCGTCCGCTTGCTCCGGCGGCGACGCCGACGCCAACTCCCCGGGCCCGTCGTTCGCGGCGCTGCGCCCGTTCTGCGTGGCCGTGACTCGCTTCCCGTCGCGCGACACGCTCCGCTCCCTCGCCGGCGCCCTGAGCCGCGTGCCCGACCCGCACCTGCGCCGCCTGCTGGACTACGTGCTCTTTGCCCCGCGCCACGCTCTCCGGCGAGCCGACGCGGCCCAGCGGGGGGTGGGTCCCTCGTCGTCGTCGTCGTCGGCGCTGGACGCGGCGCTGGAGCACCTGCGCGTGGCCGCGGCCGAGTGCATGTCGGCCGTCCTGGCGCGGGCCCCCGTCTCGGACGGACGTCTCCTGGGCGAGCTGCTCACCGAGTTGTGCGCGCTGTGCGACGATCGCGGCAACGGCGGCGGCGGCGGCGGCAACTCCGAGGAGGTGAAGCTGGCGGCGTTGACGGCGCTCGCCGCGCTGCTCCGCTGCGCCGAGCCCGCCGCCGCGGCCGCCCTCTACGACGACGACGACGACGACGCCCGGCCGCGCCGCACGGGGGCGGCGCTTGCGCGGCTGGGCCACGCTGTGTCCACGCTGCTGGCGGTGGCCGAGGGGGAGGGGGAGCGAGCGCTCAGGCTGCTGGCGCTCGAGTGCCTCGCCGCCCTCTGGCTCCTGCCGCGCCGTGACGCCGCCCACGGTCCGCCGCGGCTGCCGCCGCGCTCTCCGTCCCGCCGCGGGCCCGCCGGGGAGACGCGTGCCAAGGGGGGCGGCGTGAGGGTCTTGTTTTCGCGGCTTGCGGTCGGTGGGGAGGAGGAGGTGGAGGAGGAGGTGGAGGAGGTGGTGGAGGAGGTGGTGGAGAAGGAGAAAGAGGAGGAGGAGGTGGAGGAAGAGGAGGAGGAAGGAAACGCGATCGCGACGCGCAAAGCCTTCGACTCCCTCGCCTCCTTCCTGCCGGGCACGGCCACGGCGCTGTGCCGCATCGTCACCACGTGCGGCGGTCGCGCCGCCACGCAGCCCGGCGCCGTCGCGGCGCTGGCAACGCGCCTCCTGGCCCACGCCGTGGCCCGCGCCGCGCCGGACGACCTCCTGACCCCCGACCCCCGCGAACCGGACCAAGCGGTCCAGGCGGTGGCGGCGCGGGGCGACGAGGGGGGAGGGGCCCCCCCCTCGCTGCTCGTGAGGAGGACCCCCGACTGGGCCCGGGCCACGGGGGAGAGGCTGGCGCCGCTGCTGCTGCGGCTGGGGCCCGTGGCGGCGGGGCACCGCGCCTGGCGCGTGCGCCTCGAGGCGGCGGCGCTGGCCGGGCGCTTGCTGCGGCGCTGTCGCCGCGTGCTGGGCGCCGACGCCGTGGCGGCGATGTTGGACGTCGTGGTGGGGCTGTCGTGCGACGAGGACCAGAGGGTGAGACGGTGGTGGCGATGGTGGTGGGTGATGATGGATGATGATGGATGATGGTGATGATGATGCTGATGATGATGCTGATGATGATGGATGATGATGGATGCCAACCGCGCTAATCGGAGTACAACAAACTAAAACACAAAAAAGCGATTCTAAAGAAATTCGTTCTCAGTGTTAACGTGAATGATTAATTTCTATTGTAGCAAAGTAGTTTCGTTACATCATTTTTCCGGGGCACTACCACTCGCTGCAGCATTGCGAATTATTTCATCTCGGGGAATAGAAAACCATTCTAGATTTGAAGTTTTCGTGACTGCAAGGATTATTGGTAAAGTCACGTAGGTGAAAAATTAAAATAAATTAAATAGTTTCGGAGGCAACACAAGCTTCCGTCTTCAGGTGGAACCGTCACAGCAAAATTACAGTAACTTCGCGATTAAATGTACTTACATATTTTTACCGACGTGACTTTACCGAAAAAACCAAAGAGCATAGAAAACGACTTTTGGATATAAAAAAAAATCCATCCATCCCTCCCTCTATCCGTTCTGTATTTGTGTTCGCCCATCTGTTTATCGTCCTCCCATCTGTTTATCCTCCGCCCGTTCCTCTGCCCAACCCGCCCGCCCGCTCCGCTCTCCCCGTTCCGCTCCCAACGCGGTGGCCGCCCCCCCCCCCACAGGTTCGATCCGCCAGCTTCTCCGTCCTCCGGCGCCGCCGCCGTTCGCTCCTCGGCACGGCTCCCGGCGACGACCGGGCCGTGGAGGAATCGGCGCTGGAGCGCGCCTTCTCCCTCTGTTCCTCGCTCCCTCGCCTCGCCCGCTCCGCCACCGCCGCCGACGACCTCAAGCTGGCCACGCTCTCGCGCCTGCTGGGCTACCTGCGCCTGCTGGGCCCGCGCGTCTCGGCCCTCCTGCGTTCCGCCCCGCACCTCTCCCGCCTCGCCCGGGCTCTCGTTCAGCTCCTCGCGCCCGACACGAGCCAGCAGGTCGTGGTGGAGGAGGGGGAAGTGGAGGAGGAGGAAGGAAGAGGAGGAGAAAGAGGCGATGGCGATGAAGCAGCCGCCGCCATTGCCTCCCCGGAGCCGCCACCGGCGGGGGACGCAGACGTCGGCGGCCATTTTGCGGCGAGAGGGGGCGTCGCCGCAGGCGGGCGAGCCCATTGGCCGCTCGCCGGCTCTGCCCCCTCGGACTGGCCAATCCCGGGCGGGCGGAGGAAGCGCTTCAGGGGCTTCTCGGACGAGCGAGTGCACGCCACGCTGCAGCAGATCTGCCGCACGCTCGGGTTCTTCGGAGACCTCTACCTCCTCGTCGACACGTTCCTAGAGATGTACCGAGAGTCCCGGCTGCAACGGTGGGTCCTACCGGCTACAGCGCTGGGTGCCGGCTAGATCGGTATGTCCCGGCTACAACGGTGGGTCCTACCGGCTACAGCGGAGGGTCCCGGCTAGATCGGTATGTCCCGGCTAGATCGGTGGGTCCTGGCTAGATCGGTGGGTCCCGGCTACATCGGTGAGTCCTCTTGTTTACAGTGGTGGGTCCTAACTAGATCGGTATGTCCCGGCCAGATCGGTGGGTCCTGGCTTTATCGGTAGGTCCCGGCTACATCGGTGGGTCCTCCCGGCTACAGCGCTGGGTCCCGGCTAGATCGGTGGGTCCCGGTTACATCGGTGAGTCCTCCTGTTTCCAGCGGTGGATCCTGGCTAGATCGGTAGGTCCCGGCTACAGCGCTGGGTCCTGGCTTTATCGGTGGGTCCCGGCTAGATCAGGGAGTCCTCCTGTTTCCAACGGTGGGTCCCGGCCGGGTATCGGGTAGGGTACGGGTACGGGTACCCGATTAAACCCATGTTGCAGGCGCGGGTGGGTTGATTCTAGGAACTTGAATTGTGAGAAGAGACAAGACGTTGGGAAATGAGTGACAAACGGTTACTCACCAGTGACTCACGGCCTACCCGTACCCGTACCGGGCCGCACCAGGGTCGCAAACGGGTACCCGGGTATCGGGTAGGGTACGGGTATCGGGTACCCAATTGCGACCTGTGGATACCACAGAGCTACTTGTAAAGTCTTGCGGAGAGAGTCCTTGCCCTATGAGTGTCGAGCAGCTCACCGGCATTCGTTTAATTTTTGAAATTTTTTTAAGCTATTGGTTCACCTCTCGATTTAAAGCTTTCGTGACTGCAGGGATTCATCTTCTTGGTTCTTTCGGTAAAGTCACGTAGAATGGAAATAATAGAATATTAAAAATAAACATAATAAAACAATTCTCACGACGTTTCGGCCACAACGCAAGCAGCCGTCCTCAGGTGCATATTCTTTCGTCAAGGCGCCCTTTTCCCCCCTTCCAACCCAGCTTATATATATGCTCCAAGCACGTGGGGTGTTTCATTCAGACGCTGTCGCCTCGACAGACCTGGTTTTCACCTGAGGACGGCTGCTTGCGTTGTGGCCGAAACGTCGTGAGAATTATTTTATTACGTTTTATTTTTATTATTTTATTATTTCCCTTCTACGTGACTTTACCGAAAGAACCAAGAAGATGGTTCACCTTTCCGATACTTGGCACCCCCTATCGTGCTTTTTTGTGCTGTTTCTTGTCGAAGCTTTCTGACCCCGTGACCCCGCTGGACATCTTCATGGCTCTTCGGATTCCTCCTCCGGTATCAATACAAATTCTGACTTCAAGCGACCCTGACATTGCCGATGAGATGCTGAAGGTTTCGAAACCAGCCCAGAGTCTTGCTTGTTTTTGAACCGATGCTGCAGTTGACGTTGCACTCCCAGAAGGCCGTGTTGTAAATGGGACGTGTCAAAAATTTTCTTTTTTTTAAAATCCTTTATATTAAGTTCACTTGCTTGCTTGCTTGCGCGCTTAGGACCGTGCAAATCTTTCGGTCGTTTTTTAACCCACTTCCCGTGATCCAATCGAGCTGACATTTTGCACACAGACTCGTTGCGCGTGACAATTTATTTTCGTGAACATTTTTTTCCTACATTTTTCGGAAAAAATAAATTATATTTAATTACCAATTGCTTAATGGTGGCAGGCAATCATCTGACCCATAGGTGGCAGCCATCTCAAGCCAGAGGACGAGAGGACTCTAGCCGCCACGCATATAAAAAATTTATAGTGAAAAACTTTTTTTTTACGGGTTAATTTTTTTCACGTGGAGAGAGACGGATACGGGAAGAGGAGAGCGCGTACCGTCTGATTGTTACAGCTGAGCAGTGAGGGTTTGTGGATCACGGCACAAATGTTTTGAAACTCCCTTCCCATGGGCGTTGAGGTGCCCGAGTTATAACGGCGCGCGTTCTGCGTAGTAACGGCGGCACTCGCGGTGCGTCTTGAGGCCGAGGGTTGTTCTCTTGATCGTGTGGGCGGCGTTGTCTCTCTCTCTCTCTCACCTCTCCAGGGCCCCGGCTGCCATGATTCTCAACGAAGTGATTGTGGGAGCCGCCGGGCGTGGGTTGGACCCCTGGGCGTATTCCAGCGCTCGGTCTCTGCCGACCGCCCCATCGGAAGAGGCGCCCGGTGAGAATTTGTTTGCGTTTTTGTGTTATTATTGTTGTTGTGGTCGTCGTTGTTGTTGTTGTTGTTTAAACATCACGGTCGCTGAGCACAAGCACCAAAGGTCCCCCAAAAGCAGCAGCGTCCAGCGACCGACAGCACGGTCAAAGTCCACGGTTAGCTCCAGGGGTTTAAATCCCGATCGGGGGTTGGTAGCGGCCCATCACCTCTCTGGGTTGATAAAAATGAGGACGGGAACTCCTCTACTTAAGAACTTTCAGAGATACGAACAAACCCGTCCGTGTGTCCAGTTGCCCGTTCGGACCGAGAGTCGTAATTTCAACCGTTGCACAATAGATGGCGGTGGTGGCATCTACATCTGCAGAACGTGAAGCACCAGTGGCATCTACATCAGCAGAACGTGAAGAACCAGTGGCATCTACATCTGCAGAACGTGAAGAACCAGTGGCATCTACATCTGCAGAACGTGAAGAACCAGTGGCATCTACATCAGCAGAACGTGAAGAACCAGTGGCATCTACATCAGCAGAACGTGAAGAACCAGTGGCATCTACATCTGCAGAACGTGAAGAACCAGTGGCATCTACATCTGCAGAACGTGAAGAACCAGTCGCATCTACATCTGCAGAACGTGAAGAACCAGTGGCATCTACATCTGCAGAACGTGAAAAACCAGTGGCATCTACAGAACGTGAAGAACCAGTGGCATCTACATCTGCAGAACGTGAAGAACCAGTGGCATCTACATCTGCAGAACGTGAAGAACCAGTGGCATCTACATCTGCAGAACGTGAAAAACCAGTGGCATCTACAGAACGTGAAGAACCAGTGGCATCTACATCTGCAGAACGTGAAGAACCAGTGGCATCTACATCAGCAGAACGTGAAGAACCAGTGGCATCTACATCTGCAGAACGTGAAGAACCAGTGGCATCTACATCTGCAGAACGTGAAGAACCAGTGGCATCTACATCAGCAGAACGTGAAGAACCAGTGGCATCTACATCTGCAGAACGTGAAGAACCAGTGGCATCTACATCTGCAGAACGTGAAAAACCAGTGGCATCTACAGAACAGGAAGAACCAGTGGCTTCTACATCTGTAGAGAGTTAAGAACCAGTGGCATCTACATCTGCAGAATGTGAAGAACCAGTGGCATCTACAGAACGGGAAGAACCAGTGGCATCTACATCTGCAGAATGCGAAGAACCAGTGGCATCTACAGAACGGGAAAAACCAGTGGCATCTACATCTGTAGAGAGTTAAGAACCAGTGGCATCTACATCTGCAGAACGTGAAGAACCAGTGGCATCTACATCTGCAGAATGTGAAGAACCAGTGGCATCTACATCTGCAGAACGTGAAGAACCAGTGGCATCTACATCTGCAGAACGTGAAGAACCAGTGGCATCTACATCTGCAGAACATGAAAAACCAGTGGCATCTACATCTGCAGAACATGAAGAACCAGTGGCATCTACATCTACAGAACGTGAAGAACCAGTGGCATCTACATCTGCAGAACGTGAAGAACCAGTGGCATCTACATCTGCAGAACGTGAAGAACCAGTGGCATCTACATCTACAGGAGATTATAAAACTTTTAAAGCCATTCCCCGTGTTTAGTGTACACACCGTACAACGTGTTTGGAATCGACAGGAGTAAAGTTGGACTTACGAACAAATCGACTTACGCACAGACCAGCTTGTCAGCAAGTAGAGGAGTCCCTGTACCACCTTGTAGGAGAGTCAATAGCGGGTTGTTTCTAGTGGCAGGACCTAACCCCCGCCATAGACACGTGGAATTGCCACCAGGGCTCGAGACGGGAAGGAACTCAACTCCGTGACCGTCGACTTGCCCTTCTCCCTGAACCCGTCGCGTGCGGCTATCGCTGGTCTCCACTCGGCGCTGTCGCAGCGAGCAGTGCATCACCCCGTGAGGGCATGTTCACAGGCCAGAGGTCGCAAACGGGTTTTGATTCCTTACCCGTACCCGGCCGCATCAGGGTCGCAAACGGGTACCCGTACCCAGCCAGGTACGGGTACCCGTTCCCTACCCGTACCCGTACCCTACCCGAAATGAGTGACAAACGGTGACTCACCAGTGACTCACGGCCTACCCGTACCCGTACCTGGCCGCACCAGGGTCGCAAACGGCTACCCGTACCTGGCCGGGTACGGATAGCCGGGTATCGGGTAGGGTACGGGTACGAGTACCCGATTGCGACCTCTGCCACAGGCGCGCCCAGAACCCCCAACTCAGGATCCTCGTTCTTTGCGACGCGGCGCAGGCGATTGGCGGTCGCGGTACAGCCAGGAGGAGCTGTTCTGGCTGGCGCGAGCCGTGGTGGAGGAGTACACCTCGCCGGCGAACTGGCGCTTGCCGACGGCGCGGCTGGGCAACTCGGCTGTGCCGGGAGACGCCGGCACCGGAGCTATGTCGCTCGTTGTGCCGCTCGCCCCAGCGGTGGAGGGCGGTGAGCGAGAGACGCGGCACTCACCCACACTCACTCACTCGGAGACGCTCCACCCACACTCACTCACTCAAAGACGCTCCACCCACACTCACTCACTCAGAGACGCTCCACCCACACTCACTCACTCAGAGACGCTCCACCCTCACTCACTCAGAGACGCTCCACACACACTCACTCAGAGACGCTCCACCCTCACTCAATCAGAGATGCTCCACCCTCACTCACTCAGAGACGCTCCACCCTCACTCACTCAGAGACGCTCCACCCTCACTCACTCAGAGACACTCCATCCTCACTCACTCAGAGACGCTCCACACTCACTCACTCACTCGGAGACGCTCCACACTCACTCACTCGGAGACGGTCCACCCTCACTCAGAGATGCTCCACCCTCACTCACTCAGAGACGCTCCACCCTCACTCACTCAGAGACGCTCCACCCTCACTCACTCAGAGACGCTCCACCCTCACTCAGAGACGCTCCACCCTCACTCACTCAGAGACGCTCCACCCTCACTCACTCAGAGATGCTCCACCCTCACTCACTCACTCAGAGACGTTCCACCCTCACTCACTCAGAGACGCTCCACCCTCACTCACTCAGAGACGCTCCACCCTCACTCAGAGATGCTCCACCCTCACTCACTCACTCACTCAGAGACGCTCCACACTCACTCACTCAGAGACGCTCCACCCTCACTCACTCAGAGACGCTCCACCCTCACTCACTCACTCAGAGACGCTCCACCCTCACTCACTCAGAGACGCTCCACCCTCACTCACTCAGAGACGCTCCACACTCACTCACTCAGAGATGCTCCACCCTCACTCACTCAGAGACGCTCCACCCTCACTCACTCAGAGACCCTCCACCCTCACTCACTCAGAGACGCTCCACCCTCACTCACTCACTCAGAGACGCTCCACCCTCACTCACTCAGAGACCCTCCACCCTCACTCACTCGGAGACGCTCCACACTCACTCACTCAGAGACGCTCCACCCTCACTCACTCAGAGACGCTCCACCCTCACTCACTCAGAGACGCTCCACACTCACTCACTCAGAGATGCTCCACCCTCACTCACTCACTCAGAGACGCTCCACCCTCACTCACTCAGAGACGCTCCACCCTCACTCACTCAGAGACGCTCCACCCTCACTCACTCAGAGACGCTCCACCCTCACTCACTCAGAGACGCTCCACCCACACTCACTCAGAGACGCTCCACCCTCACTCACTCAGAGACGCTCCACCCTCACTCACTCAGAGACGCTCCACCCTGACTCACTCAGAGATGCTCCACCCTCACTCACTCAGAGACGCTCCACCCTCACTCAGAGATGCTCCACCCTCACTCACTCAGAGACGCTCCACCCTCACTCACTCAGAGACGCTCCACCCTCACTCACTCAGAGACGCTCCACCCACACTCACTCAGAGACGCTCCACCCTCACTCACTCAGAGATGCTCCACCGTCACTCAATCAGAGACGCTCCACCCTCACTCAGAGACGCTCCACCCTCACTCACTCAGAGACGCTCCACCCTCACTCACTCAGAGACGCTCCACCCTGACTCACTCAGAGACGCTCCACCCTCACTCACTCAGAGACGCTCCACCCTCACTCACTCAGTGACGCTCCACCCACACTCACTCAGAGACGCTCCACACTCACTCAGAGACGCTCCACCCTCACTCACTCAGAGACGCTCCACCCTCACTCACTCACTCAGAGACGCTCCACCCTCACTCACTCAGAGACGCTCCACCCTCACTCACTCAGAGACGCTCCACTCTCACTCACTCAGAGACGCTCCACCCTCACTCACTCACTCACTCACTCAGAGACGCTCCACCCTCACTCACTCACTCAGAGACGCTCCACCCTCACTCACTCAGAGACGCTCCACCCTCACTCACTCAGAGACGCTCCACACTCACTCACTCAGAGACGCTCCACCCTCACTCACTCACTCAGAGACGCTCCACCCTCACTCACTCACTCGGAGACGCTCCACCCTCACTCACTCACTCAGAGACGCTCCACCCTCACTCACTCACTCAGAGACGCTCCACCCTCACTCACTCACTCAGAGACGCTCCACCCTCACTCACTCACTCAGAGACGCTCCACCCTCACTCACTCACTCAGAGACGCTCCACCCTCACTCACTCACTCAGAGACGCTCCACCCTCACTCACTCAGAGATGCTCCACCCTCACTCACTCAGAGATGCTCCACCCTCACTCACTCAGAGACGCTTCACCCTCACTCACTCAGAGATGCTCCACCCTCACTCACTCAGAGACACTCCACCCTCACTCACTCAGAGACGCTCCACCCTCACTCACTCAGAGACGCTCCACCCTCACTCACTCAGAGATGCTCCACCCTCACTCACTCAGAAACGCTCCACCCTCACTCACTCAGAGATGCTCCACCCTCACTCACTCAGTGATGCTCCACACTCACTCACTCAGAGACGCTCCACCCTCACTCACTCAGTGACGCTCCACCCACACTCACTCAGAGACGCTCCACCCTCACTCACTCACTCAGTGACGCTCCACCCTCACTCACTCACTCAGTGACGCTCCACCCTCACTCACTCAGAGACGCTCCACCCTCACTCACTCAGAGACACCGTGTGAGCCATATTGACCTTTCTCGGTGCTCACCAACGGCTCTTGGTCCGACAGCTTTTGTGTCGAGAGCACGGGGGGGGGGGGATCTTTGTCTCTGAGTCTTAGCGCATGTAATGTGAGGATATATCCGGCTCACTGACGTATCACGATTCGTCACGATGATTGGCTCTGCTGGTCCTGGTCTATAGCCAATGGGGGGAAGCCTAGGGGCGTGGCTCTGACGTGACGGGAAGGTGACAGCTGCAAGTAGATGATTGGTTCTGCTGGCTTTAGCCACAGCCAATGGGGAGACGAGTCAGGGGCGTGGCTCTGACGTGACGGGAAGGTGACAGCTGCAAGTAGATTATTGGTTCTGCTGGCTTTAGCCACAGCCAATGGGGAGACGAGTCAGGGGCGTGGCTCTGACGTGACGGGAAGGTGACAGCTGCAAGTAGATGATTGGTTCTGCTGGCTTTAGCCACAGCCAATGGGGAGACGAGTCAGGGGCGTGGCTCTGACGTGACGGGAAGGTGACAGCTGCAAGTAGATGATTGGTTCTGCTGGCTTTAGCCACAGCCAATGGGGAGACGAGCTAGGGGCTTGGCTCTGACGTGACGGGAAGGTGACAGCTGCAAGTAGATGATTGGTTCTGCTGGCTTTAGCCACAGCCAATGGGGAGACGAGTCAGGGGCGTGGCTCTGACGTGACGGGAAGGTGACAGCTGCAAGTAGATGATTGGTTCTGCTGGCTTTAGCCACAGCCAATGGGGAGACGAGTCAGGGGCGTGGCTCTGACGTGACGGGAAGGTGACAGCTGCAAGTAGATTATTGGTTCTGCTGGCTTTAGCCACAGCCAATGGGGAGACGAGTCAGGGGCGTGGTCCCGGGAGCCTACGAGGGGGCCTGGAATATTCCACGGAGGCTAACCAGGATTGGTGGAAAGGTACCACGTGACCCGGGTATTAAATAGGGGTGGAGACGAACGACACGTGGTCAGAACTGGAACGAACGGAGGAAGGGGGCCACGTGGGAGCGGGGCTCCGGGTTGCCACGTGGTCCAGGCTGCCACGTGGTCCAGGCTGCCACGTGGTCCAGGCTGCCACGTGGTCCAGGCTGCACCACGTGGTCCAGGCTGCACCACGTGGTCCAGGCTGCACCACGTGGTCCAGGCTGCACCACGTGGTCCAGGCTGCCACGTGGTCCAGGCTGCACCACGTGGTCCAAGCTGTACCACGTGGTCCAGGCTGCCACGTGGTCCAGGCTGCCACGTGGTCCAGGCTGCCACGTGGTCCAGGCTGCCACGTGGCAGTGCGTCTCTCTCTCTATCTATCCCTCTCACACTGCCTGTCAGCAGCATGAAGGAAAAGCTGTAATGCAAAGTTGAATAAAAGGACCGGATTCCAGAAGTCGCCTCAACGACCTTTATTACATTGGTACTGAGCCAATGAAGATCTTTGCCTCTGTGTCTTTGCGCAGAGTGCACGCTGGAGGCGTTCAACGGCAACGCGTGGCAGCTGAGCGCGCAGCTGGAGGGCATCGCCGGGTTTGCCGGTGTCCTGGGCCTTGACTTCAGGCCCATGCTGGCCATCGTGCTGTACCCCGTGCTGGAGAAGGTGGGAGGTGAGCAGGGCTGTCTGCTCCGTTTGCTCGTGTTGGTCATGTGCATGGCGAGCTGCTCTCGCGCCGTGTACATGAGTGCGGCAGGGGGCCAGAAGCTAGGAGGAAAGGAATCATCGGCATCGTCATCATCATCAGTGACATCATCGGTGACATCGTCATCGGTGATTTCATCGTCATCATCGGTGACATCATCATCGGTGACATCATCATCGGTGACATCATCATCATCAGTGACATAATCATCATCATCATCAGTGACATCATCGTCATCATCAGTGACATCATCATCATCAGTGACATCATCGTCATCATCGGTGACATCATCGGTGACATCATCATCATCGGTGACATCATCATCGGTGACATCATCATCGGTGACATCATCGGTGACATCATCGTCATCATCGGTGACATCATCGGTGATATCATCATCGGTGACATCATCATCGGTGATATTATTGGTGACATCATCGCTGACATCATCATCATCGACATCATCATCGGTGACATCATTATCGACATCATTATTATCGTCGACATCATCATCGGTGACATCATTATCGACATCATCGGTGACATCATCATCAGTGACATCATCGGTGACATTATCGGTGACATCATCATCGGTGACATCATCATCGGTGACATCATCATCATCGGTGACATCATCATCGGTGACATCATCATCATCGGTGACATCATCATCATCGGTGACATCATCATCGGTGACATCATCATCGGTGACATCATCATCGGTGACATCATCGGTGACATCATCGTCATCATCGGTGACATCATCGGCGATATCATCATCGGTGACATCATCATCGGTGATATTATTGGTGACATCATCGCTGACATCATCATCATCGACATCATCATCGGTGACATCATTATCGACATCATTATCGTCGACATCATCATCGGTGACATCATTATCGACATCATCATCATCGGTGACATCATCATCATCAGTGACATCATCGTCATTATCGGTGACATCATCATCGGTGACATCATCATCGGTGACATCATCATCGGTGACATCATCATCGGTGACATCATCATCATCGGTGACATCATCATCGGTGACATCATCATCGGTGACATCATCGTCATCGGTGACATCATCGTCATCGGTGACATCATCGTCATCGTCGGTGACATCATCGTCGGTGACATCATCATCGGTGACATCATCATCGGTGACATCATCGTCATCATCGGTGACAACATCATCGGTGACATCATCATCGGTGACATTATTGGTGACATCATCGCTGACATCATCATCATCGACATCATCATCGGTGACATCACCATCATTGTCGACATCATTATCGTCATCAGCAGCAGCAGCAGCAGCGTAATCATAGTGATTGTAATTGGCGGTGTGTAAACACCGGTGTGTAAACACTGCCAATTAAACACCGCCACTCTGGGAGACAAAGGCGGCCGAGCGTGGTGCTGTCCATCAGAGGTTGCAAAGGGGTTTTGATTCCTTACCCGTACCCGTACCCGGCTGCACCAGGGTCGCAAACGGGTACCCGTACCCAGCCGTAACCGTACCCTACCCGTACCCGGCCGGGTACGGGTAGGGTACGGGTACGGCCGGGTACCTAATTGCGACCTCTGGGATGAAGCCATGTTGCAGGCGCGGGTGGGTTGAGTCTAGGAACTTGAATTGTGAGAAGAGACAAGACGTTGGGAAATGAGTGACAGTGACTCACCAGTGACTCACGGCCTACCCGTACCCGGCCGCACCAGGGTCGCAAACGGGTACCCGTACCCGGCCGGGTACGGGTAGCCGGGTATCGGGTAGGGTACGGGTATCGGGTACCCGGTTGCGACCTCTGCTGTCCACCCACCACCTCGTGTGCCACAGCACCGGCCTTCATAGGCGCTGCTGTTCGCTACTAGCAGCACTTGCCCTACAGCCCGTTGAAGGCCACACGGGGGGCGGCGGGGATACTCTTTGTTTCTGTGTGCGTAGGCGACGGCTTAGACACCCAGCCCGTGTGCTGCACGGCGCGCCGCGTGACGCGCCACGTGGCGCGTGCGTGTGGCTACGCTCGCCCCGGGCTCCTCGTGTCTCACAACTCGGACTACGTGGCGAGCGCCGTCACCATCGCCCTGCGCCACCTGGGGGAGAGCGAGAGCGCGCCGGTGAGTGCGTGTGTGTGTGCGTGTGTGCGCGCCGGTGAGTGTGCGTGTGTGTGAGCGTGTGTGTGAGCGCGCCGGTGAGTGTGCGTGTGTGTGAGCACGCCGGTGAGTGCGTGTGTGTGAGCGTGTGTGTGAGCGCGCCGGTGAGTGTGTGTGTGTGCGTGTGTGTGAGCGCGCGTGTGTGTGTGCGTGTGTGTGTGTGTGCGCGTGTGTGTGTGTGTGCGTGTGTGTGTGTGTGCGTGCGTGTGTGTGCGTGTGTGCGTGCGTGTGCGTGTGTGTGTGCGTGTGCGTGTGTGCGTGCGCGTGTGTGTGCGTGTGCGTGTGCTCGCTAGCAGCACTTGCCATACCCCCCCAAAAGGTCCGTCAAGGCTATACGGGGGAACTTTGTCATGTTTACGAGAAATGAAACTGGGCGAACTGACCGCCTTGACGTCTCCAATCAGGGTCGGGATCGAACCCACGACCTCCTGCACACCAGGCGAGGTAGTCAACATCTTATTCTTAGGTTTTTTCGGTAAAGTCACGTAGGTAAAAAAATTGATAAAAGTAAAATAAAAACCTGAGAATATGATAGAAATTAATATTTTACTTGTATTAATTTTAATTTATTTTCTACCTACGTGACTTTACCGAAAAAACCTAAGAATATGAATCCTTACAGTCACGAAAGCTTCAAATCTAGAATTATTTGACATCTCCTAGCCACCGTGATGATGATGAGAGAGAGAGACACGCAAACTCCAAATACACAGCAGCAGGCGTCAGAGTCAGGATCGAACCCACGACCTCCTGTACACCAGGCGAGGTAGTTAACATCTCATAGCCACTGTGATGATGATGAGAGAGAGACACGCAAACTCCAAATACACAGCAGCAGGTGTCAGAGTCAGGATCGAACCCACGACCTCCTGTACACCAGGCGAGGTAGTTAACATCTCATAGCCACCGTGATGATGATGAGAGAGAGACACGCAAACTCCAAATACACAGCAGCAGGCGTCAGGGTCAGGATCGAACCCACGATCCCCTGTACACCAGGCGAGGTAGTTAACATCTCCTAGCTACCGTGATGATGATGATGAGAGAGAGACACGCAAACTCCAAATATACAGCAGCAGGTGTCAGAGTCAGGATCGAACCCACGACCTCCTGCACACCAGGCGAGGTAGTTAATATCTTATTCTTAGGTTTTTTCGGTAAAGTCACGTAGGTAAATTAAAAGAATAAAAGTAAAATAAAAACCTAAGAATAAGATAAAAAGTAAATATTTTACTTTTATTAATTAAAAAAATGTCTTACCTACGTGACTAAGAATATGAATCCTTACAGTCACGAAAGCTTCAAATCTAGAATTAATTGACATCTCCTCGCCACCATGGCGCCCTGATTCCCAACACCAGCGGAGAGCCGGGGACCGCGGCGATGTTAACGGCACCCCCCCTGCCCCCCCTGCCCCCCCCTGCCCCCCCTGCCCCCCACCACAGCTGGTGCTTGCGGCGGTGCTGCGCTACGGGGAGGGTCCTGACGCGGTGCTGCAGGCCGCGGGCTCCGCACAGGAGCTGCTGTCCCTGGTGGACCGGCACCCGGCGACGCTGGCAAGGAGTGCCGCACCGGCGCTGCTCGCACTCGCCTGCGCCCTGGGTACACGCGCACAGGGACACACACACAGACACACGCACACAGGGCACACACACACACACAGACACACGCAGGGTACACGCGCACAGGGACACACACACAGACACACGCACACAGGGCACACACACACACACAGACACACGCAGGGTACACGCGCACAGGGACACACACACAGACACACGCACACAGGGCACACACACACACACAGACACACGCAGGGTACACGCGCACACACACAGTCACACACACACAGGGTACACACACACACAGGGCACACACACACACACACAGGGTACACACACACACAGGGTACACACACAGTCACACACAGCGGACACACACAGTCACACACACACAGTACACACACACACAGACACACACACAGGGTACACACACACAGGGTACACACACACACAAGGCACACACACACACACACACAGGGTACACACACACACACACACAGGGTACACACACAGTCACACACACACAGTACACACACACACAGACACACACACAGGGTACACACACACAGTACACACACACACAGGGCACACACACACACACACAGGGTACACACACACACACACACAGGGTACACACACAGTCACACACAGCGGACACACACAGTCACACACACACAGTACACACACACACAGACACACACACAGGGTACACACACACAGTACACACACACACAGGGCACACACACACACACACAGGGTACACACACACACACACACAGGGTACACACACAGTCACACACAGCGGACACACACACACAGTCACACACACACAGTACACACACACACAGACACACACACAGGGTACACACACACAGTACACACACACACAGGGCACACACACACACACACAGGGTACACACACACACACACACAGGGTACACACACAGTCACACACAGCGGACACACACACACAGTCACACACACACAGTACACACACACACAGACACACACACAGGGTACACACACACAGTACACACACACACAGGGCACACACACACACACAGACACACACACACAGTACACACACACAGTACACACACACACAGTACACACACACACAGGGCACACACACAGACACACACACACACAGGCACACACACACACAGTCACACACACACAGACACACACAGACACACACACAGGGTACACACACACACAGGTTGATCCGTCAGCGGGGCCGGCTACGCGACGGCTCAGGTTTTTCTCCCTCTCGAGCAGACAAGTGGTTTCCGGGCCCGCACACGGCGGCGTCCGAGCGGAGAAGGAGCGGCGACGGGGACGCGGGAGCCCGGCCGCGGGGCCCGCAGGGCCCGCCGGGGCCACCGGGGCCGCGCGGGGAGGAAGGCCGCTCGCCCTGCTCTCCTGAGGAGGTGGCGGAGTTTGTGCGCGACCACCACCGGCAGACGCAGCTCGCGGCCGGCAATGTGGGGTCGGAGGAGGAGGTCGATGCCGACGACGACGACACCGCCGGTACCCGCGACGCCCACGTGCCGATTCGTCGGCTCGCTCGCTCTCGCATTCATTCTACTCGTTCCCTCGTTCATTCACTCGCTCAGTGGTGCACTGATTCACTCGCTCACTCAAGCATTCGCACGTTCATTCACTCGCTGAGTGGTGCACTGATTCACTCGCTCACTCAAGCATTCGCACGTTCATTCACTCGCTCAGTGGTGCACTGATTCACTCGCTCACTCACGCATTCTCTCGTTCATTCACTCGCTCAGGGGTGCACTGATTCACTCGCTCACTCAGGCATTCGCACGTTCATTCACTCGCTGAGTGGTGCACTGATTCACTCGCTCACTCAAGCATTCGCACGTTCATTCACTCGCTCAGTGGTGCACTGATTCACTCGCTCACTCAAGCATTCACACGTTCATTCACTCGCTGAGTGGTGCACTGATTCACTCGCTCACTCAAGCATTCGCACGTTCATTCACTCGCTCAGTGGTGCACTGATTCACTCGCTCACTCAAGCATTCTCTCGTTCATTCACTCACTCAGTGGTGCACTGATTCACTCGCTCACTCACGCATTCTCTCGTTCATTCACTCGCTCAGGGGTGCACTGATTCACTCGCTCACTCACGCATTCTCTCGTTCATTCACTCACTCAGTGGTGCACTGATTCACTCGCTCACTCAAGCATTCGCACGTTCATTCACTCGCTGAGTGGTGCACTGATTCACTCGCTCACTCAAGCATTCGCACGTTCATTCACTCGCTGAGTGGTGCACTGATTCACTCGCTCACTCAAGCATTCGCACGTTCATTCACTCGCTCAGTGGTGCACTGATTCACTCGCTCACTCAAGCATTCGCACGTTCATTCACTCGCTCAGTGGTGCACTGATTCACTCGCTCACTCACGCATTCTCTCGTTCATTCACTCGCTCAGGGGTGCACTGATTCACTCGCTCACTCAAGCATTCGCACGTTCATTCACTCGCTGAGTGGTGCACTGATTCACTCGCTCACTCAAGCATTCGCACGTTCATTCACTCGCTCAGTGGTGCACTGATTCACTCGCTCACTCAAGCATTCTCTCGTTCATTCACTCGCTCAGTGGTGCACTGATTCACTCGCTCACTCACGCATTCCCTTGTTCATTCACTCGCTCAGTGGTGCACTGATTCACTCGCTCACTCACGCATTCTCTCGTTCATTCACTCACTCAGTGGTGCACTGATTCACTCGCTCACTCACGCATTCTCTCGTTCATTCACTCGCTCAGGGGTGCACTGATTCACTCGCTCACTCACGCATTCTCTCGTTCATTCACTCACTCAGTGGTGCACTGATTCACTCGCTCACTCAAGCATTCGCACGTTCATTCACTCGCTGAGTGGTGCACTGATTCACTCGCTCACTCAGGCATTCGCACGTTCATTCACTCGCTGAGTGGTGCACTGATTCACTCGCTCACTCAAGCATTCGCACGTTCATTCACTCGCTCAGTGGTGCACTGATTCACTCGCTCACTCAAGCATTCGCACGTTCATTCACTCGCTCAGTGGTGCACTGATTCACTCGCTCACTCAAGCATTCTCTCGTTCATTCACTCGCTCAGGGGTGCACTGATTCACTCGCTCACTCTCGCATTCTCTCGTTCATTCACTCGCTCAGTGGTGCACTGATTCACTCGCTCACTCACGCATTCCCTTGTTCATTCACTCGCTCAGTGGTGCACTGATTCACTCGCTCACTCACACATTCACACGTTCATTCACTCGCTCAGTGGTGCACTGATTCACTCGCTCACTCACGCATTCACACGTTCATTCACTCGTTCAGTGGTGCACTGATTCACTCGCTCACTCACGCATTCTCTCGTTCATTCACTCGCTCAGTGGTGCACTGATTCACTCGCTCACTCACGCATTCTCTCGTTCATTCACTCGCTCAGTGGTGCACTGATTCACTCGCTCACTCAAGCATTCGCACGTTCATTCACTCACTCAGTGGTGCACTGATTCACTCGCTCACTCACGCATTCGCTCGTTCATTCACTCGCTCAGTGGTGCACTGATTCACTCGCTCACTCACGCATTCACACATTCATTCACTCGCTCAGTGGTGCACTGATTCACTCGCTCACTCTCGCATTCGCTCGTTCATTCACTCGCTCAGTGGTGCACTGATTCACTCGCTCACTCACGCATTCGCTCGTTCATTCACTCGCTCAGTAGTGCACTGATTCACTCGCTCACTCACGCATTCACACGTTCATTCACTCGCTCAGTGGTGCACTGATTCACTCGCTCACTCACGCATTCGCTCGTTCATTCACTCGCTCAGTGGTGCACCGATTCACTCGCTCACTCAAGCATTCCCTCGTTCATTCACTCGCTCAGTGGTGCACTGATTCACTCGCTCACTCAAGCATTCGCACGTTCATTCACTCGCTCAGTGGTGCACTGATTCACTCGCTCACTCACGCATTCGCACGTTCATTCACTCGCTCAGTGGTGCACTGATTCACTCGCTCACTCACGCATTCGCACGTTCATTCACTCGCTCAGTGGTGCACTGATTCACTCGCTCACTCACGCATTCGCTCGTTCATTCACTCGCTCAGTGGTGCACTGATTCACTCGCTCACTCACGCATTCGCTCGTTCATTCACTCGCTCAGTGGTGCACTGATTCACTCGCTCACTCACGCATTCACATGTTCATTCACTCGCTCAGTGGTGTACTGATTCACTCGCTCACTCATGCATTCGCTCGTTCATTCACTCGCTCAGTGGTGCACCGATTCACTCGCTCACTCAAGCATTCCCTCGTTCATTCACTCGCTCAGTGGTGCACTGATTCACTCGCTCACTCACGCATTCCCTCGTTCATTCACTCACTCAGTGGTGCACTGATTCACTCGCTCACTCACGCATTCGCTCGTTCATTCACTCGCTCAGTGGTGCACTGATTCACTCGCTCACTCAAGCATTCGCACGTTCACGAACTCATCCACCCACTCGTTCGCCTGTTTACTCACTCGTCCATTCACGAATTGACTCGCTCATGAAGTCGCTTGTTGATTTGCGCGCTCATTCACTCGTTCACTCATTTCCTCGCATTCGTTCGCTCGCTCGCTCGTTCATTCTACTTGTTCCGTCGTTCATTCACTCACTCAGTGGTGCACTGATTCACTCGCTCACTCAAGCATTCGCTCGTTCATTTACTCACTCGTTCACGGACTTATTCACCCGCTCGTTCACCTGTTTGCTCACTCGTCCATTCACGAATTGACTCGCTCATGAACTCGCTTGTTGATTTCCGCGCTCATTCACTCGTTCACTTACGCACACATTCACTCACCCATTCACTAGCTCATTCACTTATTTAATTACTCTTTCACTCACTAATTCACTCATTCACTCGTTCACTCAATTCCTCGCGCATTTACTCACCAGGGCACTCATTCATTTACTCACTCCTTCACTCATTCGTTTATGCACACGTTCACTCACCCATTCACCAGCTCATTCACTTATTTAATTACTCTTTCACTATTCACTCACTAATTCACTCATTCGATTGCTCACTCATTCACGCATGTACTCACACATTCACTCATTCATTTACTCATTCATTGACTCATTCACCTGCTCGCTCATTCGTTCTCTCTTTTTCTCGCTCACCCGCTCACCCGCTCATTCGCTCACTCATACATGCACGCCAACCGTGCGAATCGGCGATGCGTGACCAGAGGTCGCAAACGGGTTTTGATTCCTTACGCGTACCCGTACCCGGCCGCACCAGGGTCGCAAACGGGTACCCGTACCCGGCCGTACCCGTACCCTACCCGTACCTGACTGGGTACGGGTAGGGTACGGGTATCGGGTACCTGATTGCGACCTCTGGGATGAAGCCATGCTGCAGGCGCGGGTGGGTTGATTCTAGGAACTTGAATTGTGAGAAGAGACAAGACGTTGGGAAATGAGTGACAAACGGTTACTCACCAGTGACTCACGGACGGCCTACCCGTACCCGGCCGGGTACGGGTATCGGGTACCCGGTTGCGACCTCTGTGCGTGACCCCGTCCCCCCTCCCCTGCGTGTGTGGGCCTAGGAGCGGAGTTGGGGGCCGGGTTAGGGGAGGGGACAGAGAAGGAGGAGGAGCTTAAGGAGAAGGGGGAGGAGCTGAAGGAGGAGGAGGAGGATGCCGGCTACGACAAGAAGCCGGCGTTGCCGCCCCAGCTGGAGCTGTGCGGGGCGCTGCTGGAGCGGAGCGTGCACCTCCTGTCGCACCACGACGTCGCTGTGCGGCTCACGGTGAGACGCGGGACCCACACACACAAACACGAGGCCCACACACACGCGGGGCCCACACACACACACACATGGGGCCCACACACACACACACACACGGGGCACACACACACACACGTGGGGCCCACACACACACACATGGGGCCCACACACACACACACACACGGGGCACACACACACACACGCGGGGCCCACACACACACACACACACGGGGCCCACACACACATGGGGCCCACACACACACACACACGGGGCCCACACACACACACACACGGGGCACACACACACACACACGGGGCACACACACACGAGGCCCAGGAGCTTGTTTAACCCGACCCACGCGATAGTTCTCTGTGTGTGTAGCTACTGGAGGTGGTGTGGGGTCACCGTGGGGCTGTGTGAGTCTGCGCTACGAACCCGGCGACCCGGGTTCGATTCCCGCTCACGGCCAACGCCTGTGACGATTGTCTGAACCGGTCCTGGGCCTCCCCTAGGTCGACTCAGCCTGAAATGAGTACCTGGTGTGGTGTGTAAACATCGCCACTGGGGAGACAATGGCGGTCGGGCGTGGTGCTGGCCACCCACCCCCTCGTGTGCCGTTCCGGCCTTCATAGGTGCTCGCTAACAGCACTTGCCCCTACAGTCTGTTAAGGCTATACGGGGGATCTTTGTGTGCATGTGTGAACATCGCCACTGGGGAGACAAAGGCGGCCACCCACCCTCTTGTGTCCCATTCCGGCCTTCACAGGTGCTCGCCAACAGCACTTGCCCCAACAGTCTGTCGAGGCTACACGGGGGACCTTTGTCTTTTGTACCTCCGTGTGTGTAGATGCTGGAGGTGGTGCGGCTGGCGATGGGCGTCCTGTCCGCGCGCGAGGATTCCTGCCTGCCCATGGCTCACCGCCTGTGGCCGGCGCTCGTCCAGAGGCTCACCGGCGACGAGTGGAGGGTCATCCTCGCCGCATTCAAGGTGCCGTCGCGTCTGAGCGGACCCACGCGTGAGACGGTGCGCCGCGAAGCGAGCCACCCGTGAACCCCTTTTTTTTCCACTGGCTCACGCGAGGCGAGCCGTCTCCGCTGGCTCTTTGCGAGCTATTCTGCTGTGGCTAATTTTAATGATAATTGTTTTTTTACCCTTCTATCTGGCAACAAAACTGACACCTTTTTTTACAAGGAGTCATGTTTGCATAGACCACAATACCTGCAGTCAGAATGCAAACAGAGTTATGTTCTTTTTGTTTGCATTATGACTGCAGGTATTGTGGTCTATGCAAACATGACTCCTTGTAAAAAAAGGTGTCAGTTTTGATGCCAGATAGAAGTGTAAAAAACCAATTATCATATTTTTTACTGGCAAATGAGGTTCCAATGGTGTAAATGCTTACCCCGAGCTCTCATACTTTGATGGTGCATTGTCTTTGAGTTGTGCGCCTTTTGGCGTCATCTGGTCCAACCCATATGAGACTAGGCTCTAAGGAAAGCTGTCTCGGGTGTGGACCAATCAACTTCAAGGACAGTGCATACATTATTAGAGTTATGTTCTTTTTGTTTGCATTACGACTGCAGGTATTGTGGTCTATGCAAACATGACTCCTTGTAAAAAAGGTGTCAGTTTTGTTGCCAGAAAAAAGGGTCAAAAAACCAATTATCATATTTTTTACTGGCAAATGAGGTTCCACTGGTTGCTAATTTTAGTTTAGCAGGTAAGACTACACTGAGCTGTTTGATTATTTCTTCAGAAGCGACCTGGCGATGACAAATGATAGCCCGGCAAAGTTGCTCATCATCATCATCGTCGTCGTCGTCGTCATCATCACGGGGACATTCATAGCAGTGACGGTGGTTTTAAATGTGGAGGGAAACACTGAAGGACCCGGTGAAATATCCACGCGACCACGGGGAGAGAGAGGACACGCAAACTCCAAATATACAGCAGCAGGCGTCAGGGTCGGGATCAAATCCACGACCTCCTGTACACCAGGCGAGGTAGTTAACATCTCCTAGCCACCGTGATGATGATGAGAGAGAGACACGCAAACTCCAAATATACAGCAGCAGGCATCAGGGTCGGGATCGAACCCACGACCTCCTGCATACCAGGCGAGGTAGTTAACATCTCCTAGCCACCGTGATGATGAGAGAGAGAGACACGCAAACTCCAAATCTACAGCAGCAGGCATCAGGGTCGGGATCGAACTCACGACCTCCTGCACACCAGGCGAGGTAGTTAACATCTCTCCACCGCGACAGTCTTGCCCAAGCTCACATTTGATCTTGACAAAACTGCAAAAGTTATATCTACAGGGACTCCTCGACTTACGAACTGGTTAGGTTCCAGAGGTTCTGTTCGTTCGTTCATTTGTTCATAAGTCCAACTTCACTCCTGTCGATTCCAAACGTGTTGTACGGCGTGTACACTAAACACGGGGAATGGCTTTGAAAATTGTATAATCTCCTGTAGGACGGAGATGTCACTGGTTCTTCACGTTCTGCAGATGTAGATGCCACTGGTTCTTCACGTTCTGCAGATGTAGATGCCACTGGTTCTTCACGTTCTGCTGATGTAGATGCCACTGGTTCTTCACGTTCTGCAGATGTTGATGCCACTGGTTCTTCACGTTCTGCAGATGTTGATGTCACTGGTTCTTCACGTTCTGCAGATGTAGATGCCACTGGTTCTTCACTCTCTACAGATGTAGATGCCACTGGTTCTTCACGTTCTGCAGATGTAAATGCCACTGGTTCTTCACGTTCTGGAGATGTAGATGTCACTGGTTCTTAATGTTCTGCAGATGTAGATGCCACTGGTTCTTCACGTTCTGCAGATGTTGATGCCACTGGTTCTTCACGTTCTGCAGATGTAGATGCCACTGGTTCTTCACGTTCTGCAGATGTAGATGTCACTGGTTCTTCACGTTCTGCAGATGTAGATGCCACTGGTTCTTCACTCTCTACAGATGTAGATGCCACTGGTTCTTCACGTTCTGCAGATGTAAATGCCACTGGTTCTTCACGTTCTGCAGATGTAGATGTCACTGGTTCTTAATGTTCTGCAGATGTAGATGCCACTGGTTCTTCACGTTCTGCAGATGTAGATGCCACTGGTTCTTCACTCTCTACATATGTAGATGCCACTGGTTCTTCACGTTCTGCAGATGTAGATGCCACTGGTTTTTCACTCTCTACATATGTAGATGCCACTGGTTCTTCACGTTCTGCAGATGTAGATGCCACTGGTTCTTCACGTTCTGCAGATGTAGATGCCACTGGTTCTTAATGTTCTGCAGATGTAGATGCCACTGGTTCTTCATGTTCTGTAGATATAGATGCCACTGGTTCTTAATGTTCTGCAGATGTAGATGCCACTGGTTCTTCACGTTCTGCAGATGTAGATGTCACTGGTTCTTCACGTTCTGCAGATGTAGATGTCACTGGTTCTTCACGTTCTGCAGATGTAGATGCCACTGGTTCTTCACGTTCTGCAGACGTAGATGCCACTGGTTCTTCACGTTCTGTAGATGTAGATGCCACCACTGCCATCTGTTGCGCGGCTGTTGTACTTACGACTCGCACACAGAGACCCATAGACTCGCACACAGAGACCCATAGACTCACCACACAGAGACCCATAGACTCACCACACAGAGACTCACAGACTCACCACATAGAGACCCACAGACTCACCACCACACAGAGACCCACAGACTCACCACCACACAGAGACCCACAGACTCACCACACAGAGACCCACAGACTCACCACACAGAGACCCATAGACTCACCACACAGAGGCTCACAGACTCACCACCACACAGAGACCCACAGACTCACCACACAGAGACCCACAGACTCACCACACAGAGACCCATAGACTCACCACACAGAGGCTCACAGACTCACCACCACACAGAGACCCACAGACTCACCACACAGAGACCCACAGACTCACCACACAGAGACCCACAGACTCACCACACAGAGGCTCACAGACTCACCACACAGACTCACCACCACACAGAGACCCATAGACTCACCACACAGAGACCCACAGACTCACCACACAGAGACCCATAGACTCACCACACAGACTCACCACCACACAGAGACCCATAGACTCACCACACAGAGGCTCACAGACTCACCACCACACAGAGACCCACAGTTTGTTGTCTTTCCCCCGCACGGTTGGCTACGTACGGCGGTGCGAAGGAAGTTCAACGCGCACACGTCCTCGCGACCTCCTCCGCATCACCGCCCCCATTAAACTCTGTCCCCTGTCCCACCCCCCCCCCACCCAGACGCTGGTGTCGCTGTCGCGCGTCTGCGGCGACTTCCTGCGCCGGCGCGTCTCCGGCGAGCTGCTGGGCCCCGTCGCCGCCTCGCTGGCGGCGAGGGCGCCTGTGAGCGCCGCCGCGGGGGCCGAGGGCCGCCGGCGGGGGGGGCCGGGGGGGCCGCCCCTGTACCCGCGGTCGCTCGCCTGCCGCCTGCAGGCCGCCGCTCTCGACAGCCTGGGGCCTCTGGCCGTCGTGCTGCGGCTCGGTGAGAGGGCGGTGGCGGGTCGCTCGGTGGCCTCCACAGAGCGCAACCTGGGCCCTGGCTGGGCCTGGTCTGGCCGGGCCTGGTCTGAACTGGCCTGAACTGGTCTGAACTGGCCTGAACTGGCCTGGTCTGAACTGGCCTGAACTGAACTGGCCTGAACTGAACTGGCCTGAACTGGCCTGGTCTGAACTGAACTGGCCTGAACTGAACTGGCCTGAACTGAACTGGCCTGAACTGGCCTGGTCTGAACTCGCCTGAACTGAACTGGCCTGAACTGAACTGGCCTGAACTGGCCTGGTCTGAACTCGCCTGAACTGAACTTGCCTGAACTGAACTGGCCTGAACTGGCCTGAACTGGCCTGGTCTGAAACTGGCCTGAACTGGCCTGGTCTGAACTCTCCTGAACTGAACTGGCCTGAACTGAACTGGCCTGAACTGGCTTGGCCTGGCTTAGCCTGAACTGAACTGGCCTGGCCTGAAATGGCCTGAACTGGCCTGAACTGGCCTGGCCTGGCACTATGCGTCATGGTGACATCACCGTCACTCGGTGGTGAACGGCGGTTGTTGTTGATGTCGTCGGTGTGTTCCGTGCGTGTGCGTGCGTTGCTGTGTCTTCACGTGCGATGGCGTGTGCGTGTGTTCGTGTGTGTGTGTGTGTGTGCGTGTGTTGGTGTGTGCGTTCCGTGCGTGCGTGTGTGTGTGTGCGTGCGTGTGTGTGCGTGTGTGTGTGTGTGCGTGCGTGTGTTGGTGTGTGCGTTCCGTGCGATGGTGTGTGCGTGTGTTGGTGTGTGTGTTCCGTGCGTGTGTGTGTGTGTGCGCGTGCGTGTGCAGCCTGTGTGTTTTGTGACTAACAGCATGGCGCCGGAGTGAAGGTGCGAGGATGAATTATTAATTTTTATCATCTATTCATGAGCGCTCGCACGGCGCGTGCGTGTGTGCGCGTGTGTGTGCGCGTGTGTGTGTGTGCCTTTATTTTGTTGTTGTGTGTGTGCGCGTGTGTGTGTGCCTTTATTTTGTTGTGTGTGTGCGTGTGTATGTGTGTGTGCCTTTATTTTGTTGTGTGTGTGCGTGTGTGTGTGTGCGTGTGTATGTGTGTGTGTGCGTGTGTATGTGTGTGTGCGTGTGTATGTGTGTGTGTGCGTGTGTGTGCGTGTGTATGTGTGTGTGTGCGTGTGTGTGTATGTGTGTGTGTGTGCGTGTGTTTTTGTCTGCGTGCATCCGTGGGGAGCGGCGGCTTAGCGCTACGCTGCGCTACGAACTCGGCGACCCAAGTTCGAGTCCCGCTCACGGCCAACACCCGTGACGATGATCTGAACCAGTCCAGGGGCTCCCTTAGGTTGACTCGGCCTCGAATGAGTAACCGGTGCGGTGTGTAGTAAACATCGCCACTGCGGAGACAAAGGCGGCCGGGCGTGGTGCTGGCCACCCACCTCCTCGTGTGCCGTGCTGGCCTTCATAGGTGCTCGCTAACAGCACTTGCCCCTACAGTCTGTCAAAGGCTATATGGGGGATCTTTATCTTTGCATTTGTTTGCAGGTGTGGTGCTGGCCACCCACCCCCTCGTGCGCTGTGCCGGTTGTCATAGGTGCTACTTGCCTAACAGCGTTTGCCCAAACACATTCCTGCGGAGGGAGCTGGTAGGAACGTTGGGTTGCTCGGTCAATGGCCTGCAGGGTCAACGGCGGCGTGGTGAATTCCGCAAATATGCCCGACTGTGAGGGCGGGCACAAGCCGGCGTGAGTAGGTTAAACGTTGAGTTTTATAAGGGCACCACGGGGTGACCAGCCCCTCCCCACCCAGCCCCACCCCTCCCACCGCCCACCCAGCCCCTCCCCACCCAGCCCCTCTCCACCCTCCCCACCCAGCCCCATCCTCCCCTCCCCACCCAGCCCCTCCCCTCCCCACCCAGCCCCTCCCTACCCTTCCCTCCCCACCCAGCCCCACCCTCCCCACCCTCCCCATCCAGCCCCTCCCTACCCAGCCCCACCCTCCCCGCCCTCCCCTCCCCACCCAGCCCCTCTCTCCCCACCCAGCCCCTCCCTGCACGATGGACGGACGGACACAATAATCCCTTGTGGTTCTGGTGTAACCAGGAGGTTCCTACCGGCGCTAAAGAAGGATATGCGTGTGCGTGTTTTGTTTGTTGTTGACCTCAGACAATGCGGATCTGGACACGGTGGTGACTGCTGCCTTGCCCTACCTCAGCTGCCACCAGCCGATGGTGCTGCAGGAGGCAGCGATGGGGTGAGCGCCACTCTCGTTACCAGCGGCGCTGTTACGGGATCCGCTCGTTTAACTTTTTTTCTCGCCGCCGCACGTTAGCTGACCGCGCTGATCAGAGGTGCGAACGAACGCGACAAAGAAGTCGTTAAGAAATTCGTTTTTTAAAATCCTTTATATTAATGTGCTTGCGTGCTTGCTTGCTTGCTTACGACCGTGCAAATCTTTCGGTCGTTTTTTAACCCACTTCCCGTGATCCAATCGAGCTGACATTTTGCACACAGACTCGTTGTGCGTGACAATTAATGTTCGTGAAATTTTTTTCTAAATTTTACACTGTTTAGGGATATTTTTTTAAATATTTAATTACCAATTGCTTAATGCTGCCAGACAATCATGTGACCCATAGGTGGCAGCCATCTCAAGCCAGAGGACGAGAGGACTCTAGCCGCCACGCATATAAAGGATTTATAGTGAAAAACGTTGTTTTTACGGGTTATACTTATTTTCATTCTAGATGGAAAGAGACCCGTGGAGACACACACGGCGATCGAGACTCATGTCGAAACACAGAAACCTACAGAGACCCATAGAGATCCATACTCATATATATACGTGTACAAGCAGGTGTACCCGTTCTTGGCACGGAAATTAATCATTCTAGATTTGAAGCTTTCGTGACTGCAAGTCACGTAGGTAAAAAAAGGAAATAAAAATTAATAAAAAATTAAGTTAATAAAATCACGACGTTTCGGAGGCAACACAAGTCTCCGTCATCAGATGGGACCGTCACAGCCATATTTGCTGCATCACTTGATACCTCACTTGATACATCACTAGATTTGCTGTATCACTTGATACAGATTTGCTGTATCACTTGATACAGCAAATCTGGCTGTGACGGTCCCACCTGATGACGGAGACTTGTGTTGCCTCCGAAACGTCGTGATTTTTTTAACTTAATTTTTTATTAATTTTTATTTCATTTTTTTACCTACGTGACTTTACCGAAAAAACTAAGAGTACGGAAATTAATAATTCAGTCCGAGCATGCGGTGACATCACAGACGTGACGTCACCGCTCACTTGCCGTGCAAAATATTAGATCCATTATTGCGCCCCACCCCCACCCCCAAAATACAAAAGTCTATTTTTATACTTTTTGCATTGTGTACAGTCTGGAAGCTAGCCACATGGCGAATTTCAAGTTTGTTGCATGTCGGGAAGTATGCTAAACATTTCGAACAGACACACATTCACACATTTCCCTTGTGTGTGTGTATAGATATAGATGTGTGTTGAACTTCTTTTGCACCATACGTAGCCGACCACGCGAATCGGAGGTGCGGGGGGGGCGGAGGGCGACAAGCTAAACACAACAAGGCAGCTCTCAGGAACCGAGTTCTTCACTCTCGATGGTTTAACAGTTCACAGCTACATGGGCTTCCCTGCAGGGCGACGGTGTTGATGACGATGATGACGATGATGATGACGATGACGACGATGATGATGACGATGATGATGATGATGACGATGACGACGACGATGACGACGACGATGATGATGATGATGATGATAACAACGATGATGACCACGATGACGATGACGATGATGATGATGATGACGACGACGATGACGACGACGATGATGATGATGACGATAACAACGATGATGACCACGATGACGATGACGACGATGACGACGATGATGACGATGATGATGACGATGATGATGATGATGACGATGATGATGATGATGATGACGACGACGATGACGACGACGATGATGATGATGACGATAACAACGATGATGACGATGATGATGACGATGATGATGATGATGACGACGACGATGACGACGACGATGATGATGATGACGATAACAACGATGATGACGATGATGATGACGATGATGATGATGATGACGATAACAACGATGATGACGATGATGACGACGACGATGATGATGATGACGATAACAACGATGATGACCACGATGACGATGACGACGATGACGACGATGATGACGATGATGACGATGACGACGATGATAACGACGATAACGACAATGATGACGATGACGACGATGATAACAACGATAACGACGATGATGACGACAATGATGACGATGATGATGATGACGATGATGACGATGACGACGATGATGACGATGACGACGATGACGATGATGACGATGATGACGACGACGACGACGTCGATGATGACGACGACGATGATGTCAGCTACGTCGTGCCGTGGGTCGTACCCGTTGTGCGCCGCGTTTATTTTATTTCGACATTATTTATTATTTATTCCCCCCCCCCCCCCCCCCCCCCCGTGGGCCAGGCTGCTGCGCAGCGTGATGGCCGTGGACCCCGACCGAGTCTGGCTCAGCCTCTGCCAGCTGCACTGCCCCCACGACCTGCAGTCGCCCGGAGAAGGTTTTCGCCCGGTCCAGTTCGCACGAAGCGCCTCCACCTCCTCCACCTCCTCTACCTCCACCTCCTCCACCTCCTCCACCTCCTCCTCCTCCGCCCCCTCCTCCTCCTCCTCCACCTCCTCCTCCTCCGCCCCCTCCTCCGCCCCCTCCTCCTCCACCTCCACCTCCTCCTCCCCCTCCTCCTCCACCCCCTCCTCCTCCTCCTCCTCCACCTCCTCCTCCTCCGCCCCCTCCTCCGCCCCCTCCTCCTCCACCTCCTCCTCCTCCACCTCCTCCTCCTCCGCCCCCTCCTCCGCCCCCTCCTCCTCCACCTCCTCCTCCTCGGAGGGGGCAGAGTTCGCGGGGAACGTCCGCTCCTTGCTGGCCCTCGTGGACGACGAACCGTCGTGACGCTGGGCCCGATCACCCACCCACCCCTCCCCCCTCCCCACCGCAGAAGACTGTTGACCTGCCCCCCTCCCCCCCACCACCCCACCTCCGTGAAGTTGGTGGAGGTGGGGGGGGGTCACCGTGGCCGTAGAGCTTGACCCGCAGGTCAGAAGGTCACTGGCCTCATCGCCAGGTCAGAAGGTCGTTGGCTCAGCCCCTGGTCGCCACGGTTACGTAGCCAACCGCGCGAATCGGAGGTACGGACAATAAACTATGGATCTTTGTGTGAGTCTATGGGTCTCTGTGTGAGTATATGGGTCTCTGTGTGTGTCTATGGGTCTCTGTGTGAGTCTGTGGGTCTCTGTGTGTGTCTATGGGTCTCTGTGTGAGTCTATGGGTCTCTGTGTGAGTCTGTGGGTCTCTGTGTGAGTCTATAGGTCTCTGTGTGAGTCTACGGGTCTCTGTGTGAGTCTACGGGTCTCTATGTGAGTCTATGGGTCTCTGTGTGAGTCTATAGGTCTCTGTGTGAGTCTATGGGTTTCTGTGTGAGTCTACGGGTCTCTGTGTGAGTCTATGGGTCTCTGTGTGAGTCTACGGGTCTCTGTGTGAGTTTATGGGTCTCTGTGTGAGTCTATGGGTCTCTGTGTGAGTCGATGGGTCTCTGTGTGAGTCTATGGGTCTCTGTGTGAGTCTATGGGTCTCTGTGTGAGTCTATGGGTCTCTGTGTGAGTCTATGGGTCTCTGTGTGAGACTATGGGTCTCTGTGTGAGTATATGGGTCTCTGTGTGAGTCTGTGGGTCTCTGCGTGAGTCTATGGGTCTCTGTGTGAGTCTATGGGTCTCTGCGTGAGTCTATGGGTCTCTGTGTGAGTCTATGGGTCTCTGTGTGAGTCTATGGGTCTCTGTGTGAGTATATGGGTCTCTGTGTGTGTCTATGGGTCTCTGTGTGAGTCTGTGGGTCTCTGTGTGTGTCTATGGGTCTCTGTGTGAGTCTATGGGTCTCTGTGTGAGTCTGTGGGTCTCTGTGTGAGTCTATAGGTCTCTGTGTGAGTCTACGGGTCTCTGTGTGAGTCTACGGGTCTCTATGTGAGTCTATGGGTCTCTGTGTGAGTCTATAGGTCTCTGTGTGAGTCTATGGGTTTCTGTGTGAGTCTACGGGTCTCTGTGTGAGTCTATGGGTCTCTGTGTGAGTCTACGGGTCTCTGTGTGAGTTTATGGGTCTCTGTGTGAGTCTATGGGTCTCTGTGTGAGTCGATGGGTCTCTGTGTGAGTCTATGGGTCTCTGTGTGAGTCTATGGGTCTCTGTGTGAGTCTATGGGTCTCTGTGTGAGTCTATGGGTCTCTGTGTGAGACTATGGGTCTCTGTGTGAGTATATGGGTCTCTGTGTGAGTCTGTGGGTCTCTGCGTGAGTCTATGGGTCTCTGTGTGAGTCTATGGGTCTCTGCGTGAGTCTATGGGTCTCTGTGTGAGTCTATGGGTCTCTGTGTGAGTCTATGGGTCTCTGTGTGAGTATATGGGTCTCTGTGTGAGTCTATGGGTCTCTGTGTGAGTCTATGGGTCTCTGTGTGAGTCTATGGGTCTCTGTGTGAGACTATGGGTTTCTGTGTGAGTCTATGGGTCTCTGCGTGAGTCTATGGGTCTCTGTGTGAGTATATGGGTCTCTGTGTGAGTCTATGGGTCTCTGCGTGAGTCTATGGGTCTCTGTGTGAGTCTATAGGTCTCTGTGTGAGTCTATGGGTCTCTGTGTGAGTCTATGGGTCTCTGTGTGAGACTATGGGTCTCTGTGTGAGTCTATGGGTCTCTGCGTGAGTCTATGGGTCTATGTGTGAGTCATTGGGTCTCTGTGTGAGTCTATGGGTCTCTTTGTGAGTCTATGGGTCTCTGTGTGAGTCTATGGGTCTCTTTGTAAGTCTATGGGTCTCTGTGTGAGTCTGTGTCTCTGGGGTGGGGGTAGGAGGGGTGGGGCTGGGTGGGGAGGGGCTGGGTGGGGGGTGGGGAGGGTGGAGCTGGGTGGGGAGGGAGGGGTGGGGGGTGGGAGGGGTGGGGCTGGGTGGGGAGGGGAGGGGCTGGTCACCCCGTGGTGCCCTTATAAAACTCAACGTTTAACCTATTCACGCCGGCTTGTGCCCGCCCTCACAGTCGGCCATATTTGCGGAATACACCACGCCGCCGTTGACCCTGCAGGCCATTGACCGAGCAACCCAACGTTCCTACCAGCTCCCTCCGCAGGACAATGTGTTCATACTACAGCAGGGCTCTCGAAAATCAGTGCTCATGACGGGGAAGGACTCCTTACGATCCAAAAAATTTACCCGTAAAAACAAAGTTTTTCACTCTAAATCCTTTATATGCGTGGCGGCTAGAGTCCTCTCGTCCTCTGGCTTGAGATGGCTGCCACCTATGGGTCAGATGATTGCCTGCCACCATTAAGCAATTGGTAATAAAATATAATTTTTTGTCCTAAAAAAGTTTAACATTTTGGAAACAAAATTCACGAACATTAATTGTCTCGCACAACGAGTCTGTGTGCAAAATGTCAGCTCGATTGGATCACGGGAAGTGGGTTAAAAACGACCGAAAGATTTGCACGGTCCTAAGCAAGCAAGCGAACTTAATATAAAGGATTTAAAAATGTACAAATTTTTCCGCGCAGCAAATCGATGTGGCTGGACTGCAGGTGGCGGTCACGTGGGCTTCTCGCGAACCGGAGCAACGCGATTGGGGTCGTCCATAAATGACGTCACGCGATTTTGGAGGATTTTTGACCTCAAATATGACGTCACAAAGCTCTGCCCCCCCCTCCCCCCCCCAAAAAAAAAAACATGCTTCAAATCGTTTTATTTCGATTTAAAGCTTTCGTGACTGCAGGGATTCATCTTCTTGGTTCTTTCGGTAAAGTCACGTAGAAGGGAAATAATAAAATAACAAAAATAAAACATGATAAAATAATTCTCACGACGTTTCGGCCACAACGCAAGTAGCCGTCCTCAGGTGAAGACCAGGTCTGTCGGGAAGACAGCGTCTGAATGAGACAGACCTGTTCTTCACCTGAGGACGGCTGCTTGCGTTGTGGCCGAAACGTCGTGAGAATTTTTATTTTATTATGTTTTATTTTTATTATTTTATTATTTCCCTTCTACGTGACTTTACCGAAAGAACCAAGAAGATGCTTCAAATCGCTTTAAACTCTTGTCATTGTAGTGCGTGTTTAATGTGGCGCTGCGACTCTGATGTTGTAGGAGAAAACATTTATTAGAAAGTCGATTTAATTAAGTAGAACGCGTTGTCTATATTTATTTAAAGTTGCGCCGCATTTTGATGTGACGTCACATTTCTCAACCCCCCCCCCTCGTCACACATCGTCACAAATGCCTGACCCCCCACCCCAAATGCGTGACGTCATTTATGGACGGCCCCAAAGTGCGAGCACCGCGCGTTGGTGCGAGGACTTGGCTGTGGTTTAGCGGTAGGGGGCGATGTTGCTCTGTGCGTGTGTGCGTGTGTGTGTGCGTGTGTGTGTGCGTGTGTGTGTGCGTGTGTGTGCGTGCGTGTGTGTGCGTGTGTGTGTGCATGTGTGTGTTTGCGTGCGTGTGTGTGTGTGTGCGTGTGTGTGTGCGTGCGTGTGTGTGTGCGTGTGTGTGTGCGTGCGTGCGTGTGTGTGCGTGTGTGTGTGCGTGCGTGTGTGCGTGTGTGTGTGCGTGTGTGTGTGCGCGTGCGTGCGTGTGTGTGTGTGTGCGTGTGTGTGTGTGCGTGTGTGTGCGTGCGTGTGTGTGCGTGTGTGTGCGTGTGTGTGTGCGTGTGTGTGCGTGCGTGTGTGCGTGTGTGGGGAGCGGTAGTGTAGCGGTTAGCGCGCTGCGCTATGAACCTGGCAACCCGGGTTCGATTCCCGCTCACGGCCAACACCAGTGACCGTTATCTGAACCGGTCCTGGGCCTCCCCTAGGTCGACTCAGCCTTAAATGAGTACCTGGTGCGGTGTGTAAACATCGCCACTAGGGAGACAAAGGCGGTCGGGCGTGGTGCTGGCCACCCACCCCCCCCCCCTCGTGTGCCGTTGCGAACTTCATAGGTGCTCGCTAACAGCACTTGCCCCTACAGTCTGTTAAGGCTATACGGGGGATCTTTGTGTGTGCGTCTGTACGTGGAGCGTGTGTGTGTGCGAGTGTGTGTGGGTGTGTGTGTGCGAGTGTGTGTGGGTGTGTGTGTGCGTGCGGTCTATGTGTGTGTGAGTGTGTGTGCGTGTGTGTGAGTGTGTGTGCGCGTGTGTGTGTGTACATGTGTGTGTGCGCGTGTGTGTGTGTGCGTGTGTGGGCGTGTATGCGTGTGTGTGAGGGCGACTGCCTCCAACTGCCCAGTAGCAGCGTCCTTCACGAGCCTCCTCCACAGAGGCCGATCTTGACACCGCTGGTACCGGTCATCGGCAAGTCCACTCAGCTCCACGTCCTCCTGCACTCCATCTCTTCTCTAGCCCGTGTCACTCACACACTCACCCACTCACCCACTCATTCACTCACTCATTCACTCACCCATCACTCCATCTCTTCTCTAGCCCGTGTCACTCACACACTCACCCACTCACCCACTCATTCACTCACTCATTCACTCACCCATCACTCCATCTCTTTTCTAGCCCGTGTCACTCACACACTCACCCACTCACTCACCCACTCACCCACTCATTCACTCACTCATTCACTCACCCATCACTCCATCTCTTCTCTAGCCCGTGTCACTCACACACTCACCCACTCACTCACCCACTCACCCACTCACTCACTCATTCACTCACCCATCACTCCATCTCTTCTCTAGCCCGTGTCACTCACACACTCACCCACTCACTTACCCACTCACCCACTCATTCACTCACTCATTCACTCACCCATCACTCCATCTCTTCTCTAGCCCGTGTCACTCACACACTCACCCACTCATTCACTCACTCATTCACTCACTCACCCATCACTCCATCTCTTCTCTAGCCCGTGTCACTCACACACTCACCCACTCACTCACCCACTCACCCACTCATTCACTCACTCATTCACTCACTCACCCATCACTCCATCTCTTCTCTAGCCCGTGTCACTCACACACTCACCCACTCACTCACCCACTCACCCACTCATTCACTCACTCATTCACTCACCCATCACTCCATGTCTTCTCTAGCCCGTGTCACTCACACACTCACCCACTCACTCACCCACTCATTCACTCACTCATTCACTCACCCATCACTCCATCTCTTCTCTAGCCCGTGTCACTCACACACTCACCCACTCATTCACTC